CTCCAACACTGGAAGTTTTTAAGAAGAGACTGGACAGCCATTTGTCCGAAATGGTATAGGGTTTCCTGCCTGAGCAGGGGGTTGGACTAGATGACCTTCAAGGTCCCTTCCAACTTTATTATTATTATTATTATTATTATTATTATTATTATTATTATTATTATTATTATTATTATTATTATTATTATTATTATTATTACATAAACACACAACCACACTACCTTCTTGCCACTCTAGGACAAAATCACAGCTTCAGTTCAAGAGACGACGTGAACCAAGTGGCACACAAATTTAAACAATAATCGGGACACCCAAAGGTGCCTTTCCAAAAAAGGCAACTGGATTTTCTTTGTTTTTCCTTGAAGATGTTTTGCTTCTCATCCAAGAAGCTTCTTCATTTCTGGATGAGAAGCGAAACATCTTCAAGCAAAAACCAAGAAAATCCAGCTGCGTTTTGAAAAGCAGCTTCGAGGCAACCTTGACCTGGAGGACTGAGAATCTCCATTAGATAATAATAGCGATAGTGGACCAGCCAGTTAGGTGCTGCAAGAAAATCACACTGATTACAAGCAACAGCATGACAAAGTAGCAACAATGGTGCATTGGAATATCTGCAAAAAAAAATACTATTTGCCTGCAAGGAAGAACTGCTGGCACCATAAAATCGTCAAAGTAATAGAAAATTAAGAAGCTAAAGTGTTCTGGGACTTCGGAATTCAAACGGACAAGCAGCTGCCACAAAACATCAGAGACCTAATAACTGTCGATGAGACAGACAGAAAAGTCTGGAAAGTGGATGTGGCGGTATCTGGAGACAGCAGAAGAGAAGAGAAGAGAAGAGAAGAGAAGAGAAGAGAAAAGAAGAGAAGAGAAGAGAAGAGAAGAGAAAGAGATTAACAAAATCACCATTGGGCTATGTTGCACAAGGCAGCTTTACTGGGACAGCTTACACCAGGGGTGTCAAACTCAATTTCATTGAGGGCCGCATCAGCATTGCGGTTGCCCTCAGGGGGCCGGCTGGGTGTGGCTAGGCTGGGTGCGTGTGGATGGAGTGGGTGTGGCCTACTGGGTGGGCGTGGCCAGCTCTACATCATTCGCATCAAGGGTGCCTGCGGGGGCCTGGGCAGGAGTGGGACAGATCTGAGGGTCTCTGGCAGAAGGGGGTGGGACCGGGGCAAGTGCCAAGGCATGGTCCACTGGAGGAGCCTCACCGTTCCTCTTAGGCCATGTGGGGGGGGCTGGATGGTGGTACGGGCTGCCTGAAGCCCTGGGCAGCAGAGGTCAAACGCCCAGCCTGGCCCTCGAGCACCCGCGGCACCAAGCCCAGCCACACTTCCCCAAGGGGCGCCCAGCTGCACTTACCTCCTCCCCAAGGCTGCTGCTGCTGCTGTGCTTGCTCTCCTTAGCCAGGTTGCTCATGATGGGTACGAGGGCAAAGTCAGAGGGAGGCCCATTCCCTCTCCATGGGAGGAGACCCGGCTTTGTATCCAAAGCTTCCTTAGCAATAGGATGGGAGACCCCCAGGATAGGCCAGGAGGAGGGGGCAAGGGGATGGGGAAAGGGCAGCAGGGCAGGACTAAGATAGGACTTCCCTCAGACCCTCCCTCTCTTTTCCTTCTTTCCTAAGTACAGAGTGGTGGGAAAATATTTGAGATGAGGGAGGAAGAAAAACAGGCAAGAAACGCAGCTGGGGAGGTGTCACCCTTCGTGAGGAATGAAGAAATGCACCATCGCCTGGAAGTGGCCAGCGCGATGGT